AAACTAAATTAAAGGATCTTTTTTTTAGTACACAAAATTTAAAGATTAAATTATTCAATCTCTTACTCTAAGAATTCCTCGTTTTTGTGTAATAGCATTTCTCGTGGCACATTTCCACCGACTAAGATAATTCCATTTCGTTGTTTATTTACTTCAACAACAAAATCGATACCTTGTTGAAAATTCATATTCACTAAATTTAGTTTTTGTTGGTTTTTCTTGAGCCAATCGATAATAATTGTTGAAATTCTATTTGACATCTGATCTATAAGAGGATTAGATGCAGTTGAAAAATTAAGTGATGACGAGTTAGATGAATTAGCAAACATTGATATATCTGATGGTGAAGGTGTATGAATTGTCGAATAGTATGTCGGTACAGTTGTTGTTGCTAGATTGGACGAAGTGGTGCTCGGAGCTCTTTTAAGGAGTTTGATGAGATTACTAATCGATGATTCAAGATCTGGTAGAAGAGCAACGGATCCGTCACGTAATGTAATACATATATTTTGTTTAAGATCATTGAATTGATCAGATTCAAAACGAAGTACATCAGTACATTCTTTGCATCCGAGAAATGAGTCAACTCCATCGCAATTTTGAAAGGCAAACAGCTCTGCCACTCGCTTTTCAGAAATTTGACGAATAAAATCATAAAATGCTTCATCTCGTAGATCCATATTATTTGAAGGAGGTACTCTTTGTATCCATATATCAATATATTGAAATAGGTATATCAAAAACACCAGAATTAAGAAATGAACAGTTCGTCTGTGAGTTTGTGTGAACAGATGGAAATGAAATGGTAACAACAAGAGAAAGAGATGTTTATTTTTTTTTTCATTCTGTCTTGTGTCACATGAACGCATGAACATACGACAAGAAAAAAGAAAAATATCGACTGTCTATTGTTCATCATGGCTGTCCTGAATTTATAGAATATACGACGATAGAATTCTTCCTGCACTGATAACTATTATTGAAAGCGAATGACAATTAGCGTTATTGTTTTCAATAAAAATCACTTTATTCTGAACAATTATTAATAGTTACTATTGACTGACAATGATTATTTTGATTGCAATGAGCTTTTCCCCCTTGTCCAAGAGTATCATAGGATCTCTACAAAAACGTATGAATATCTCGATTTGCATGATTTCTCAGTTCGACATCTTCTACAATCCTTCAAAACTGATCTAGTCCACCGTCGAAAATATTAACCTCGATATCAGATATTTTTTCATGTCGTGAAATCCTTAAAACCATGAACTCGCAAATAAAGTCCTATACTCTCTATAAAGGGTTTTCTGGAGAATACAATTTGCTTGACTTCTCAGTAAGACATCTTTTGAAATCCTTCGAATCTCATAGAATCCACCATTAATGTCGATATTCTGAAAACCGACATTGTATCTTCTTAGAGTATCCTTGAATTCGCTGCTGTGCGATAATAGTTCTATAATCTCTATAACAAGTTTCTGGAAGAACATGATTTCATTCATCTTCCAGCTCGAGATCTTTTGAAATCAGGTGGGTCAAACAGGCCATTGGGCCTATCTATCGTGCGTTTTCTGCATTTTCAATAAAAACAACTTCATTTCTTGAGTAGAAAGTGCAGATTTCAAAATTTAATACTGAGAATTTTTGCTCTGCAATATAAGAAATAATTTTTGAATCAGTTTAACTCAGCACAATCAGGAGTAACAATAAATTATCATTCAATTGTTCATTGTCCATTCATTTATTTAGTTTATTTATACGTTTCGGTAGATTAAGGATCACACTTTTTAAATGGTTGTTCCAAAAGTTTTACATCAAACATTCAGGTAGTATTACATATTTATAGTTTCTTATGCGTTCCGACTAAAAAGTCATCGTCCATTTCTTCATAAAATTACGTAAGACGATTAAAGTTGAAAAGCAGCTTTTCCTCAACGTTGAAAGTTTCTGTCTTCTTTCCACTCAATACTTGTATACCTCACTGAATGAATAGATGTTTCATTTCGTCATGTTATTTTGATATTAAAACACTTTTCTCTCTTCTTAAAAAGACAGTCTTCTACTTCCACTCAATTATTATCCAATTATTGGTACACAAAAAGAAAAGACACGCCTCATCAAGCAGGCAAGTCAGGCCGATGAAAATCAAAGACAGGCACACGATCACAAAAAGCTTCATAAGTTGTCAAGTGCCAGCAACCTATGAAGAAAATAAGAATATTTCCATCTCTGCCTCCAGTACTTGACATATCATAGAATCCAAAATGAATTTCACTATTCTCCATGAAAGCTACTACTCAAAGCCATCCGATCCTCGGAACCGTTCGATATCTATTATACTGCCATACCTTATAGAGGGATATTCGAAGGATCTCAATTTCAATGTCGTTTCGCTTCTCGATGTTGTCGACATCTTCCAAACT